AATGGAAATATAAAAGGTTCATGAATGGATGAATAATGCAATAGAGAAATAAATAAAGGGATGGAAAAATTAATGGATGGGTGGATGAATAAAAACTATATATCATTGAACACTAGTACTAAGATGACAATTTTTATTCTTAATGTTTTAGGATCCATCCAAATGCTTGATGTCAATTCATCAATTGATACCAAAGAGAATGATCGATCAGAAGATGATGCCAGCGTCAGTAGTGATTCAACGGCATCAACCAGTGATAGTGACGTCAGTGAYGTCGAGATGGATAGTACTAATGAAGATGATCCTTATTTTGCTTCAGTGAAGGTGAATATAGRATTAATCATCAAGAATCCATTCCTTTTCATGTTATGCCTCAGTTGTCTTCTAATCAGGGTTCACACTACTCCTTGAAATCCTTAAAAAGTCCTGGAATTGAAAACTCGTTTTCAGGGGTGCTTGAAAAGCCCTTAAAAATGGGAAAAATCGCTAAAAAAACTCCTGGAAAAATCCTTGAATCTGATAAAATTAACATTTTGCTTTTTTGCTGTTTGGATTGAAGTGTGGCTATTTTTGGAAATCACCACTGGAAACATTCACAAACATCAAGAAATATCTTCAAAAATAGTCCTTGAAAATCGCATTTTTGTGGTTAAAAAGTAATTGAAAAATCCTGGAATTTTGTAGTGAAAATGTTGTGCGAACCCTGTCTAATTGATAGTATCCTTTGTGGTTCACGGTGCCATTTTGAAATGTAATGGTGGATTTGCATCAAAGCAAGGCAACTGATGAACTTGATGAAACTGATGAAATGTGAATAATTATATGTTCTGTTATTTCCAAAACTGGTCTAAACTTTGGATTTTCAACAATATACATGTACATGTATATGTAAGATTTCTTGCTTTTCACTGTGCATCTTCAGAAGAAATGCCATTCTGTTGGATCTTGCTTTGATATTCCCTAATAAATTAATTTTTTGTTTTTAGAAATCTTTTCCAAATGGTGATGAAAGTTACCCTACTCCTCCTACAGCAGAAATAGGTACAATAGACAATGATAATCATGATGATGATGATAGCAATTATAATGATAATTAATCAGCGTATAACACTGCATAGGCTGCCTGTGGTGTATGCATGATACAACGCTAAATAAAACTAATGATAACAATGATAAGGTGTTTAGAAAAACGAAATATTAGAAAGGAAAATGAAAGGAAACACTTAGTTTTGCTGTCAATAATGGGACAGTTCAGTGTCGTCATGACGTCTTTATCATGCAAATATTTTTTTAATTTATTCAACTATCTCACTTTACACTTTATTATAATAACCCATTATTATAATAACGAACACTTGCTTGATAATAGCGTCATGATACACCAAAATGTCACATTTACAATACTGTAATAACAGCAAAACAGTGTGTTTTATTTCCTTATCTTTTCTGATAATAATGATGATAATTACTGGAGTTATACATGTATAATTTACTGTATGGGCTGGTGGTGGTGTAAGCATGATACAAAAGTGATGAATAAAACATCAGCATTTCTGTTGTAGTCATGGTTTCAGTGTGGGAAGGCAAGCAATGTAAAAAAGCTCACATGACTTTGATGGAAATTAGTGCAGCCATTGCGAATAAAGTTGTAAGTATTGTAATGATGTTGTCCAGAGAGAATGCTAAATGAGACAAAATAGCAAAAATTTAAATTAAGAAGCCATTGGTTTGGTGCTGTAACAATTGCATGAGACGTAAATGTTGACGTAAATCAACAATATCAACACCAGGGTGTGTTATGTAGGGACAAAGATTTAGTCACAGACATGGAACAATTATGAGACCCATTTAGAAACTTGTGGTTGTTTATAGTATGTAATACCATGATCACCTCGGATTCCATTGTCTTCCGAGGGGTTTACAAACCCGAATTTCCCTCATGAATAACATGAGGGAAATTTAGAAGACAAAGGATTCTTTTGTCTTTTGCTAAATTTCCCTCTATTTAATTTATGCAAGGGAAATTTAGTAAAAGACAATACTAAATCTCCCTTGCCTAAATTAAATAGAGGGAAATTTAGTAAAAGACAAAAGAATCCTTTGTCTTCTAAATTTCCCTCATGTTATTCATGAGGGAAATTCGGGTTTGTAAACCCCTCGGAAGACAATGGAATCCGAGGTGATCATGGTATTACATACTATAAACAACCACAAGTTTCTAAATGGGTCTCATAATTGTTCCATGTCTGTGACTAAATCTTTGTCCCTACATAACACACCCTGGTGTTGATATTGTTGATTTACGTCAACATTTACGTCTCATGCAATTGTTACAGCACCAAACCAATGGCTTCTTAATTTAAATTTTTGCTATTTTGTCTCATTTAGCATTCTCTCTGGACAACATCATTACAATACTTACAACTTTATTCGCAATGGCTGC